TGTAAACATGCTTTTGATAATGTAAAGCCTAAGAAGATCAAAGGAATTGAAAATTCCCTGAAAATTTCAGACACTCAAATGTGGATAGTTTAATCCTGGAACAAAGGATTCTGTTACAGGAAGGATATTATTAATTATTATTATTAAACTGGAAAGTGTTCAGAAGAGATTTGCCAGGATATTGCCGGGAATAGAGGGTTTGAGTCATGAGGAGAGGCTGGACAAGCTGGGACTTTTTTTCACTGGAGCGTAGGAGGTTGAGGGGTGACCTTATCAAGACTTGTAAAATCATGAGGGGTATAGATAAGGTGAATGACAGATGTCTTTTCTCAATGATGGGGGATTTCAAATTGAGGGGGCGTATTTGTAAGGTGAGAGGAGAAAGGTTTAAAAAAGACACAGGCAATTATTTTACACAGAGAGTGGTTTGTGTGTGGAATGAACTTCCAGAGCAAGTGGTGGATGCAGGTACAATTACAACATTTAAAAGACATTTGGATAAGTACATCAATAAGAAATGTTTGGAGGGATATGGTGTATCGGCCAGTGTTCCTGCTCCTGGTGCGATCATCATTATTATCTAATGGTAATGCTGGGTGCTGGTGTGAAATCACCTTTTTCTGCATCCCCACCCTGGTTGAATATCTTTTGTAAGCAGATAAAAAGGAACCAGATATGAATAGCAAGGAACAGCATTATACACAGCACAAGAAAAGGGTGCCTGCTGGGCCTGAATTTGTATAGAGTGGCATCAACAGCATTTTACTGTCGATGTTGGAGTATTGCGTCCAGTTCTGGTCGCCGCATTATAGGAAGGATGTGGAAGCATTGGAAAGGGTGCAGAGGAGATTTACCAGGATGTTGCCTGGTATGGAGGGCAGGTCTTATGAGGAAAGGCTGAGGGACTTGAGGCTGTTTCCGTTAGAGAGAAGAAGGTTAAGAGGTGACTTAATAGAGACATACAAGATGATCAGAGGATTAGATAGGGTGGACAGTGGGAGCCTTTTTCCTCAGATGGTGATGGCTAGCACAAGGGGACATAGCTTTAAATTGAGGGGTGATAGATATAGGACAGATGTCAGAGGTAGGTTCTTTACTCAGAGAGTAGTAAGGGCGTGGAATGCCCTGCCTACAAAAATAGTAGACTCGCCAACTTTAAGGGCATTTAAATGGTCATTGGATAAATATATGGATGATAATTGAATAGTTTAGGTTAGGTGGGCTTCAGATTGGTTTCACAGGTCGGCGCAACATCGAGGGCCGAAGGGCCTGTACTGCGCTGTTATGTTCTATGTTCTATGTTATATCTCTGACAGGCAAGTGCATTCTGATTGGTCAGGGAGTTGCTACAGAGAATGTAACAGCAACTAGCCGTCTCCGTTTACTCTTTGTATGAGAAAGGGAACAGATATGTCCAAGATTTTTGATCTCCTTGCTCTATGGGTAGACCTGCACCCCAAGGACTGCAGCAGTTCATGAAGGAGACTCATCGTCACTCTCTCAGAGGGCATTAGGTTTGGGTAACAAATGTTAGTCCAGCCAGAGACAGTCACATCCTTCAAACATATATGCAGATGTGAGGTTTTAGGTCTAACTGCAGGTAAGGTACAGCTGAAGACGTATTATTGGCTGGAAGCCAGATGTCTGAGAAAAAATGTGATTTCCTGGAAGTGGTTGATCATTTTAATCAGCTGCTTTATGATTATTTATTGCAACTCCCCCATCAGAGAGCTGGAAGGGTTAAAGACTCACAGGCTCTAACAAAAGGAGTTTGGAAGTAAGCCAAATCAGTCTGGTTTCTGCATTAGTCAGAAAGTCACTGTGCCAAGTTCCGAACCTGGACTGGTTCCTGGGGAGGATGATTGCTGTAGGACAGTGTTTAAGGGGTGGGAGGGGAGAGTTGGAGTGGTGCATGACGGAACAGAAAAATGAAGGCAGTACATGGGGTTATTATGATTGATATGGGAGTAATGTGCTGTGTTTTTCTGGTCCCATTACTGCTGGAGTCAGAAGGTAAATTCCATTGTTTACCCAGCGCCCAATACGGCTCATTGTACACGTTCTCCATCAACCACAAAACTATTGATTTATCATAAAACAAAACTGACTGAATGAAGATGCAGTATTGGTCAACACAGTTTGTAACATGGAAATGTAAATGTTTACTACTCAAATTAAACAGAGCACATGCCCCAAGTAAAGGGAAACAAATGGTTCTCTCTCTACAGCAATGCATTGAAAAAAAATTTTGGCCAATAATGGTTAGTTCTTCAAGGGCAAAATGATATGGAGTGGAATGTCAGGATAACTGTAGATGTGGTATTCTGGCACATATAGACAAGTCACTAGATGCAATTATCTCTGGTGTTTTTGCAAATACAGCTTGATGAGGAAACACACTATTGAAATGTCTTCCAGACACTCTGCAAGAGAACAGTCAGGTCTTATACTGGACTCACAGCAAGGGCCTTCAGAAAAGAGAGCTGAGCTCTGCAGCCTTTTCCCCAGCTGATGTCCAACACAATCTGCAACAGCAGGCTGGGCAACATCTACATGAAACAGCCATAAAGCCCATGCAGCTGGTTTCTAAGGAGTGAGTCCAAGCAATTAACTAAGATCAGGATTTGCCAGGAAAGTGTTTATTTTCACTGTTGTGATGTGTCCTTTCATTGATCTCTCAAAAACTAAGTTAAAAACGTGCTGCATTACATTATGTTCTGCAACTCACCACCAATGTAACATGGTCAAAAAGGAAAAAAAAAGTAACCACACATTGTGTGAACATTATCCTCTTGCAGTTACACTTTCCTTTCATAGTCATAGTCATGAAGTTATACAGCACTGAAGAGGCCCTTTGGCCTATTGAGTCTGAACCAAACTATCTCCACTCAGCCCGCTTTCCATCACTTGGGCCATAGCCTTAAATGTTGTGACACTTTTTAAGTGCTCAACTAAGGATTTTTTGAAGGTTGTGAGGTTTCCAGCCTCTACTGTCAGCTTCAAGAACAGTTCCTTCCATGCTGTTATTAGACAGCTCTGCGGACCTCTCTAATTTCAAAACTAATGCTGATCTTTGTTTCATGCACCTCCTGTGCAGCTGTAACCCTCTGTGCCTCGCTCTATCTAAACACCCCATGGTCTGTATGTCCTTGTATGGTATGACCTGCCTGTACTGCTCGCAAAACAAAACTTTTCACTGTACTTGGATACATGTGACAAAAAAAATCAAGTCTGTCCTCCCAGGCAGGGCATTTCAGATTCCCACCAGCCTCTGGGTGAGCAAATGTTTCCTCATGGCCCCACCGAAACCCCCTGTCCTTCACCTTAACGTTGTACCCCCCACCCCGCCTGGTTATTTCCCGCATTTACTTGTCACTGAGTCTCAGGTGGGCAATAAGCCTCATTTTTGGTGATAGTTTAGTGCCATGTTGGTAGAGGCGTCTTCATGTGACACTCACATTCTGTCAGTGAGTAAAACAATGACTGAACCAGTGGGTTTTGAGTGTTCCAGCCAGGCCCAGGCTTTGAGGCCAATGGAAAGTGTGACTGTGTGTGTGTGTCGCTTGCTCAGAATTGTGACAACAGTGCTATCACTGGGTTGTTGTTTGCTGTTTATTATGTAATGACTGCACAGCAGAAGCTGACTCAGTATTTGCCCACTTGGCTTCAATGTTAATTTTGAAGCTATTTGTGAAATCAGCGCTTGGTGTACAGGAGGAGAAAACGGTTCATTGTCTGTGGTATCTTGATGAATGAATTGATTTTGTGCCTGATTTTAATGAAATGGATGAGTTGTTTGGTGCTGTTCATGTTCAGGACATCCATTGTGGGTATGCAAATTCAGAGACTGGCTCAGGCTGCCTCCTGGGAGGAAGAAAAGAGATACATTTTTATAGCGCCTTTCGGGACATTCCAAAGCACTTCACAGTTGCTGGAGTTGTTTGAAATAATAGAAAACACTGTAATTTCTCAGAGATATGCAGTCAGTATTTCACTTTGCCAAGCTTTGTTAGAATCAGTCTGCACTCTAAAGTAAGGAGGGAAATGTTCACTAACGATTGCAACATTTACAGTTCCTCAGATACTGAAGCAGTCGATGTTCAAATGCAGGCTTGGGCTGATAAGTGGCAAGTAACATCCATGCCACAGAAATGCTAGGCTATGACCATCTTCAACAAGAGAGAAGCTAATTGCTGTCCGTTGACATTCAATGGTGCTACCATCAGTGTATACCCCACTACTAACCGCAAACTTAACTGGATTCGCCACACAAACACAGTGGCTACAAGAGCAGGTCAGAGGCTGGAAATACTGCGGCAAGTAACTCCCCAAGGTCTGTCCACAAGATACAGGTCGGGAGTGTGATGGAATGCTCTCCACTCTCTCACCATCATCTTCTGAAGGGCAATTAAGGATGGGCAATAACTGCTGAGCCACCAAGCAACACCCACATCCCTGGATGCATTTTTAGAAAGAACTGGATCTCCACGTGAGCCTGAGAGTTTTTGGGACATTCAACCACAGCAAGCTTCACCTCGGAGCCTGACTCCATCGTTAAGAGCCAATGGGTGAGGAATCCACAGTGAAAAATGCTGGTGATTTGCTTTCTCCTCTCTTTAAGCCAGTGTAACAGAAGGCAGTTGTTATTTCACAACCAAGGACTAAGCTGAGAATTCGGCTAAAAGCGTTTGGAATCAAAACGTAGTTCTGCCAAAAACACAGAATGCTGTATAAATGCAATTTTTGGTGTGATAAAAACTCGGATGTCAATGGTTTCCTTTTCAAATCTCCCACAGGAAATATAAAGTGCAAGGCTGGTTTGTATCCACCCATTGTGAACACCTCTTGATCGAACGTTGAATAATATGCTGCACAGACTAAACAGTTCAGAGCTACAAGAAAGGAACTGTCTGTAAAATAAGGACGAGTTTGCTTAACGGAACAGAATTCCTGCTGGCAAAAGCAATCCAAAAATTCCGGATTGTTGATTAATTTATCAGGTAGCCAGGTAAGTGCAAGAGAAGATGTTTTAACTGTGATTTTGATCATGTCTGCAGCTTCCAGTGATATCACTAAATCTGCTCTGAATAGTATGTTTTGAATTTCATTCTCTACCCTATCACGTACAATTTTTAAATGATATTTATCTTGGGGAGGGTAGGGGAATACATTCCATCGTTGTACTTTCTTTTCTCTGAGAAACAATTGACACGCTGTCGATAACACACAGAGGCTTTGGGTTTAAAGCTGGCCCCTTGGATCTGTGAAAATTACAGACGATTACAAATCAGCCTTTCTTGGTGACAATTGGAATTCAGCAATTAGAAGGAATAATAACTTACAAGTCTCAAATCACAGCCACGTGGTTCGATGGTGTTGGCACGTTTGTTACATAAAATCACTTCCTCCTTCTCCCTTTAAAATCTCATCCAGTTTAAGCAAGTTTCAAATGACATGCAGCAGCAAAAGATGCCTGGATTTATCCAGCTTATCTCGGAATCAAACATCTGTCAGCTTAAGGCCCTCGCTGAGTGCAGAAATCCAGCCTGTCACACAGCACTGAGGGAGGGTCAGTGCTGAGGGAGTGCCACACTGTCAGAGGGTCAGTGCTGAGGGAGTGCCACACTGTCGGAGGGTCAGTGCTGAGGGAGTGCCACACTGTCGGAGGGTCAGTGCTGAGGGAGTGCCACACTGTCAGAGGGTCAGTGCTGAGGGAATGGGCACTGTCGGAGGGTCAGTGCTGA